CCATTATAACACAACTACAGACTATAGACAGGCTTTTTTCTTTTTCTTTCTTTCTTTTTTTTTTTTTTTTTGGTACTAGGTAGGTGCTGCACTGCTGAGATACACCCCAGTCCTGCTTTAACATTTGTCCACTCCCTGTCTATTCTCAGCATAACTGTGAAGGTGATATTTGTAAAAATAAATAAATAACTAGCTCTTCTGTGCAAGCTTTTTCATGGCTTCTCTTTTTCACTTAGGAAAAGAGCCACAGTCTCTGTCAGGACTCACAGCTCCCTACAGGAGCTATTTCCCTCCTGCTGCTTCACTTGATCTCTCTGCTTGAGTCCCTGCCACTTCTTCCCTGTCCTTGAACATTTTAAGCCTTTGTTCTATCTGTGCTCTCTGCCTTTAACAGTTCTCCTTTGGATAGCTTCACATCTAATTCCCTTAGTTCTTTTGCAAAGTTTTTGTTCAAGCAGGCTGCCTCCCTCCCTGTTTAAATTAATGACATTCTGTCTCCAACATCTCTCACACTCTCCCTGCTTTGTTTTCTTCTCAACACTTGATGCTTCTTAACTACTACAGTAGGTTTTTTTTTTCCTGTTTTTCTTTTTTTTTTTAAATTTTAACATTTATTGTGTGTGTGTGTGGCCAGCTCAGCCCACCAGGGGGCGCGGCTGGCTGGCATGTGGTGCTGGGGGATTGAACCGCGGTCCCTGTGCTTTGCCAAGCTTGTTCCAAGTAGGTGCTTTAGACCACTGAGCCATCTCTCCAGCCCCCTTTCCTGTTTTTCTATTGTGATTCCTTTGTTTCTTGTTCCAGAAAGGCAGGGATCTTTGTACTGTCCACTGGTATTCCTTGTGTTACAATTACAAAGATAGAAAGGAATGACTCAAAACTATATCCAATGAATGTGAAAAACCTATTTGACTTTGTCTGGTGAGTGATCTTTACAGACAGGAGGAACATTTGTCTGGCAAATGGAGCATACAGGAAACATCCTTGTAGACTTCTTGTAGAATAACAGTAAGAAAAACACAGAACAACCTCTCTGTTCTGTATTTCTACCTAAACACCAACCCATAAGAGTCCTCTTCACAAGAGCTTTCAGCACAAATATCAAGATACAATTTGCTTTTAAGATCCAGTTTGCTTTTAAGATAGACTTTGCTTTCATTTCCTCTGCATTCATCTAGCTTCTCCTTCCTGGGGGAAATTTTCTAACCTAGCTATTTCCTCATAGTGGAATTTCCTTGAGCTTACTCATAAGAGTTTGACTATTTTTGACTTTCTTTTTTGAAAAGAAAATAGATTTCATTCCTTCTCTTTTTTCCATCTGATAATTCACTTTCAAATAATCCAACTGCAGATTATCTAGGGAATATAGTATCTAAGACTCTTAATATATCCATTTTTCTTGAATGTATTTTGGGAAATTGGCAACTCTTAGATGAATCACATGCTAATAGGAGTCTTTAAGAAGACAGAAACAACAATAAGGGAAAATGTATTATTAGTGGATTTTGCTAATCTTTGATGTGAACAATAATAAAAGTAAGAATTTTAGTGTGGTTGGTTGCACTTCTCCTCCTCCTTCTCCTTCTCTTCTACCTTCTCTTTCTTTTGGTGTCCTAGGAATTGAACCCAGGGTCTTGCACGTGCTAGGCAAGCAGTCTACTATTGAGCTACATCTGTAGCCATTTTTAGATTTTATTCCGAGGCAAGGTTTTGCTAAGTTGCCTGGGCCAGCCTCAAACTTACAATCCTCCTGCCCAGCCTCCTGTAGGTAGGATTCTAGTTGTGCTCTACCATGCTCACCTAGGAAGGCCCATTGTAACTTTTCCTTCTTTGTAAGAATTCCCTGCAAAACTGGAAGGATAGACCAGGATTCTAAATAGACCAGGATTTCAATAGACCAAGATTCTAGGTACATGGTAGCTCATGCTGCAGGACTTCTTTGGGAATCTTCTTTCACAGCTTATTTTCTTTATCATGATTGATTCTAGGGAGTAATATTTCAGCAAAGTATCAACATAATAAGACTGCATCTGCTATTTTTCAGAAGAATCTATTACTAAGGTTGGAAGATAGTATATAAGAACTCAGCTTCTATAAAATTTTACACACTGACCTGAGGAATTGTCTAGTTGATAAAAGTAGTTTGCTGTGCCAAGACTGACCTATGGCGATCACCTCCTTTTCTTCTTTCGTCTATTGGAAGTTGTGAGCAGAAGATACTATTTGCCTAGACTTCATTCAGAACCTTGAGCACTATCTCTTGTTGGCTTTCTTGGAAAGCAGCATGAGATAGGCCTTGATTTCCATCTTTGGAGAAATCAGTGCTCACAGTGTATAGTTCTCAGGCTTGCAGGATGAGAACGTCAGAACCCCGTGCTTGGACCCCTCCTGCTGCTGCCTGTGCCTTCTTTGCATTTCCTGTAAGGCAGCTCAGCCATTGGTACTATTGTCCTCTGTCCTGAATGTCCTTTAAGTGGATCAAGAAATATGTAGGTGGTTTGGGGGACTCCTAAGACAATATGAATTGTGCCAAATAATTTTCCTCTCCACAATTTCTTTAGTGAAATAATTACTAGCCTTCGTATTAATTTTTATTTATTTATTTTTAAATTTTTTTTTCAGAACTGGGGATTGAACTCATGCCCTTGAGCTTGCCAGGGAAGTGCTTATTCCACTGAGCCATCTCCCCAGCCCCCATATTAATTTTTAGAATTCATGTTAGTTATTTACTTAAATGTTTCACCAGAATTATACTGTACACAGAGATTCCATTAAAGGCAGTAACTGGACAGGATCACATAATAAAATTTAGAACATAAAGATCAAAATCTAATTGGTTAGATTTACTAGAGAAAGAAAAAAATTAGAAAAATGTAACATGATTTTATGCACATTAAAGGGAAATATGTTATAAATATAAATCAATTATATATAAAAATATATTATCAGTTATTTTAATTAAAATAATATTTATTTAGCCTTTGTTTACTAGTAAGCAAACACCTTACACTCTTCTTTGATGATGGGATCTCATGAGGGACATGTCTCTAAATTGACATTCATAAACTCTAATGCCCTGATAGGTGTGAAATTAATACAAATACACAAAGCAGGCCAATGTAAGATAATAACCCAGGAGCTCTCTAACACCATTAGTTGCTGACTTTAAGACTCTAAGAAAACACCATAAACTGAAAAATGGCAGTGGTTACCTGTGACAAACCTGTTTTCAGAACCTGCTCTAAATCGTAATGGTGAAACATTTAAGGAAAGCTATCTGTCCAATCTTTCAATATTCACAGTTTCTATTACTTGGAGAACAGGTAGTAAGCTCTTTGGTTGTAAGTATTATTTATTTATTTATTTATTTATTTATTATGTTAGGATAGGACTTATTTGTGGTGAAGGAAATCACATAAAGCACAATGTTTTTAAGAGGAAAGGGAAGATGTAGCATGTCCCACCAGTCTGTGCTTGCCATTGTGTGACTATTTCTTCTCTTTAAAGGCCATGTCATTCTATTCCAATCTTCTGCTTGCTTCCTCATAAGCCAGCTGTTTCAGTAAATCACAGGTAAAGAGCCCATGCAGAACAACCTATAGAATCCTAACATTTGTTTGAAAAATGCCATCTAAGAAAATTTAGGTAAGAGTAGGCTAACATTTCCCAGATTTTTAACATGCAGCTCAGAATTCTAAGGGGAAAGAAAGTACCTTTATTGTTTACTCAATGAAGCTAGTTAGCACAGTGGATTACAGCACATATTTACTTTGGTCTAAGATTGACTCAAATTTTTTCTCTATACTCTCATCTGATACAGAAAAGTTTTTGGTCTTCTGAAGTTCCTTTTCCTCAGATGTGGGTGATAGTAACACTACTAACTTGATGGGAATATAGAGGTTGCATATGTATAATACCTAGCATGTCATAGCCAGTAAAACATGGTGGCGATTGTTGAGGAGGATAATGGAGAGGATAATGGTGATTGTAATGGTGGTCATAGTGACAGTAGAGGTGATGGTGGTGGTGCCATTGTTGCAGGCAGCTGAGTTAGATAGAAATATTATAGGCAATCAGACAGGGCTAGGCCTTGAAGGAGATAACGCAGAAGACAAGATACCTTACAAGTGTGGGAGGAATGAATGTGCCCGCTGTGGGCCAGACCTAAAGACCAAATATCAAACAAAGGCTAACCTCCCTAAAGATTGGCATCGGAGATTGATCATCACCCTGAGGCAGCCAGAAGAATCATTAATCCAACTATTATTGGATGGCTACCTGAAAAAGTTCTGTTCTACATTCATGCTCACTTGCTACATGACTCCCTTCCCCATTTGGTCCTGGACTAAATCAATTTTACCTGAGCAATGGTGCTTGTAATTTCATTTGTTGACCATAGTTTTGTCCCACCCCACATCCACCTAAGTGAGTTCCCATGTTCTCCACCTTAGACCCGCCTCACCACATAGTTTTCCTCTATAAAAGTCCCTAGAAGAGACAGCTTCCTGGGGAAAACCCACTTGGGCCCCTCTCCTGTCCCTCTCTCAGACAGAAGCTTTCTTTCCCCCAATAAATATATTCTTCTCATAACCTCTGTTTGTTCCTACAATTCATTCTTTAGTTTTAGAAAACACGAACTCGTCTAGGTCAGGTTGGGAGATCATTTTTCCCTATGTCATTTGGAGGTTCCCTGTAACATTTGGAGGTCACCATCTGGGATCAGTTTTTCTCCCTGTATCACCATGATCTCCAAAAACTCTCAGAACTTTTGAAAAGGTGGTAGAAATTTTCTTCAGATGAACTCTTAAGGTGAAGCCCAACATGAAACAGATAAACAAGAAACATTCAGACCTACAGTGGTATGAGTATAAGAGCTGCCTTCTCTCTGCCAGTGGCCACAAATGTGCCCTAGATGTTATGAAGAGCCCTTAGCACTCAACCACAGACAGTTTGAAAATCTATGACAAGACATCACCAAAAAATGACAAGATAAATTTCCTTACTTTGGGTCAAAGGCAGGCTTAATGTTTCTGGGAGGGAGGCTTGGGGCTGGAGGCTGTGATGGGTGAGATGCTGGCAAGGGAGGCTGGCTGGGTCGCTGGGATGATGGAGTTGGTGGTAGGGAAGTTGTAGAGTAAGATGTCTGGCTTTTGCTGATACCTAAGAAGCAAAGCAAATAATGTCATGAATTAAGGCAAATCTTTAAAATACAAGAGCTAACCCTTCCAAGATTGTAGAAATGAGAATCTCAAATGTAATAATACCAGAAATTCATCTCAAGTTGAAGCAATGCTTTAAAAATGTCTAATATTTTAAGTGTCATCGCACATGACATTTGAAATGCTCCATTTCATGATATAAATTCCTGAGTTTAATTCTCATTACTAACAAAAGAAAATTTATCACCTTTTCTAAGCTTCTACAAATCTTAGTTTTAGTATCCTAGATTTTGTGAACATGCCCATGACAACTATATATCACATGCATTGTGGTTTTTCAAATATAGATTGTATTTTTTGGACCCATCATTTTGGACCAACCAAAAAAATTTATTGTTCATATTACCTTTTATAAGGAACATATTTTCATTTGTCTTGGCAATCTCCTTGAATCTTTAATAGGTTATATTTTATTTGAAGTGTGACTTTAAAACACTAAAACATTAATTCCACAGATAAATTACATACATTATATAATTACAGAAATTAACGCAATTAAATAATACATATTACCTGTAATCCCATCCCTAGTGGTAACTATTAGGTTGAATGAATTTTAGAACTTTTAATATAAATATATGCTTGTATGGAAGAAAAGCAAAATAAAGTCACTTTTTCCATTTTTCTGCTAGCTTTCTGATGCATGTTTTCTAATATATTTTTTAATAATTGTATAGTTTTTTCTTTAAATAGAAACCATGATTAAAAGCATCATTTGTCCTTACATATTTGTGCAAAATAAAAGTGAACCCCATAGTGGTTACTGAACACAGGACAGAGCAGAGGGAATGGGCAGCAAGCAGTTCAACAGGGGCAGAAAGAATTGTTAGAGATGAAGAATTGATTTTTTTCCTTGCAGCACAGCAATCTCTATGGATAAAAAAAAAACCTAGAAGAGTATGAAGGTTCTCAACACATAGAAATAATTTTTTAAATTTATTTATTTATTTATTTATTTTTATGTATTTAATTGTTGCAGGGTCTCACTATGCAGCTCAGACTTGTGGTGATCCTCCTGCTTTCAGCCTCTCCAGTGCTGGGATTACAGGCATGCACCACTACTCCCAGTCTCTGTGGTCAGGTCAGCCCACCCTAGGGAGCAGAGGGGCTGGTGCAGCATGTGGTGCCAGGGATTGAACTGTGGCCCCTGTGCTTGCCTAAGCTTATCTAAGCTGGTGCTTCCACTAAGCTATCTTGCCAGCCCCCACATAGAAATAATTAATATCTGAGGGAACTGTAATTTTTATTACCCTGAGTTGATAACAAATTGCATATGTGTGTTGAATTATTTCATACTGTACCCATAAAGATACACAAGTGTTTAAGTCTCAAAAAAACTTGGAAGCAAAATATTAAATACTTGTGCTATTTTTTTCTGTGATAAAAGATGACTAAATACATTTCCCTTAGAATAAACTTAATAAATAGTAATGGTCAAACACAATTTTTGTTAAGGTGTTTGAAATAAAATATCAGATGATCTTCCAGAGAGATAGCAATAGACAGCTTCATTGGTGAGTATATAAGTGCTTGTTTTTAATATGCCATCAACATTGGTATTATCATGTTTTAAGTCTTTGACAATATAGAAAAGAGCCCTACCTTCTTGCTTTAATTTTGTTTTTTATGAAAATAATACATGTTTGGAAATTAGCATATGATTAGCATATAATATTAGCATAATAATGCCAAATAACATATAACAATAACAGAAAAGGACTACATCCTTCCTCCTGGAGATAATGATGTTAACATTCTAGATACTTCCTTTACATTTATCCCCATATTTCTATTATGTCAGCATGGCTGTAATTTGATGTATGATTTATGAGAAGATCATTGACTTTCTATATGGTAGATGTAGAATTTTGCCCATTTCCAATATAGAAAGCCATGGCTGGGGATATTGAGGACTCAAACTAAGGCCTTTATATGGTGCTACATTTGAGCCCTTAATTTTTTTTTTTAAATGTTGACACCAATTATCATTAAATGAGTGTATTGGGCTCTAACTTTTGATCCTCATGCCACAGCCTCCTAGAGTTCTGGAATCATAGGCATGAACAACCGGGTACCATGACTATTTTTGATGAAATTTGAATGCATTGTTTGTATTATTATGGCTTAAAAATATTGTGCCTTCTAACGAGAGTCACATGGAGAGAAAACATTCTCTCAGGCTTTCACAGAGAGCACACTGGCCAAGCAATGGCCGTGACTCATCCACATGACTGATCCTGACAAAGGTTCTACAATCTGAGGTACAGGATCTCAGGATAAATCCTGAGGGGATTTCACTGACCTTCTCAGATCCAAAAGCTACAACTCTTGTTGCACAGGTCCTGCTTTACCTTGGGCTTAACCATCCAGCAGAAAAGTATAAAAACGAAGTATAAGAAGTTAAAGCCATGCTGTTACGCTGAGCTGTAGGGGACTCAGGTCAACAATTTCTGACATTGCCAGTCAAGCGGAAGACCCAATACTATTATGGGCTACTGGACTCTTTTAGAATATTTTGCTGAGTTAACGCACCTATAATATTCAAATAACGGAACTTAACAACAAAAAGGGTATACAGATGAATGCCCATTTTGTATCTGTGTATTCAAATGGCTAGGATCGATATACAGTTACATTCTCTTAATGAATAGAGGGATTTGTTCCAATGGTGTTTGTAAGTAGGATATCATGTCTGCATCTTGTACAGCAATTAGCCACTAGGAAGAATGTATACAACGTGTTAATTACTGAAACTGTCCTACCAATTTGGTTTGAAACTGTCTCATTGCTATTTGTTTCTCAGTAAATTTATGGAAAAAAAACATTGTGCCTTGCTGAGCCAGTGTTCTGTGATTACACTGGCTTTCTCATTCAACTTATCGTTTTCCTGGAGTTAATATTTCCTTCGTTTTATCACTTGCAGAGTTTCTTCAAAGGTTTTTCTTCCCGCAGCTTCCAATTTGTTCTATAAAATGCCTTTAAAGTTTCTCTACACCATTAACCATGCCAGTTAACTTATCTGTCCCTGTAGATTGTTTCTCTGCATGTGTTGTAATCAGGCTTCGTTCTCCTTAAGTCCAGAACACAGCACTCATCCTGGGATTCCTCTTTGCCAGAATCATGGCTCTGAGAACCTACCGTGAAGGCAAGTAGAAGCCTGCGCTAACTCCAACATTGACCTTCAGTGACTTGAGTCAGTCATTCTCTGGTTGTATCTGTAAATGGAAAATAGCAGTAGTGCCACTTCATAGGCTTGAGTGACTCCAAAACAATAAGTTGAATGAGAAAGTCAGTGTAACCACAGCTATCTATGGTTAATTGCTCTCATCCAATGCAGCCAAGTGGTCACTCACATCATGAGGACTCATGATCTGGCTATGTAACTGTATATGAGGACAGGGCCGGGCAGATCACAAATTCAGTGTTATTTAACATTTAATAAATCCTTACTGGATGCCTACTATATGTAAATCTCTATTCTAGGCACTAGAAATAGAGCAAAGATAAATAATTCCCCTTTCATGGATTTAGGGAGGTAGATAATAACTAAATGAATATAGTTTCAATATGTACAAATTGTGGTAAGACAGCTACAAGTTCTGGAAAGACTGTATAAGGGCGTAATACCAACCTCTCTTTTCTACTCTTCTCTCAGTGACCTTACTATGGGAGGTTGAACTTTTGCAGTAAGCATTTATCCTCTGGAAACTAGAAACACTGCAAAACTAGGCTTAATTCACTGTGTTGATCATTAGAGTTGCAAAGGTTATACAGATTAGAGTTGGATATATAATTTGTGGAGCTACTGTGAGTGGCATACAAAATTAAGGAAAAACTTTTTTGTATTTGGCTGTTTATGGTTAATTGCTCTTATCCAACTCAGCCAAGCAGTCACTCACATTCATGACACATGAGTGAAGTTCTCACATGTATCTTTATTTTCTCACAGTTGCCTGCTTGCTAGCAGTATTCTGGTTGGTGCTACATGCATTCATTAACTGTAGGAATTTAAGTTAATTAGCCTTAATTTACAATAAGGAATGTTACTTATTTCATCATTGCATATTGTGTGTTACTTATCCTTTATATCAATAACATTTATTGTATTTTATATATTACAGTTGTTGACTGAAAAAATATTATGTGCATGACTGCACTTATTAATTTTCATGTATGTGTGTGTGTGTGTGTGAGAGAGAGAGAGAGAGAGAGAGAGAGACAGAGACAGAGACAGAGACAGAGACAGAGACAGAGACAGAGTCTTGCTATGCAATTCAGGCTGGCCTGGAGCTCACTTTGTAGCCCAGGCGGGTCTTGACCTGGCAAAGATCCTCTTGCCTCAGCCTCCTGAGAGCAGGGGTGCACTACCACCTCTGGTGCTCACTTTTTATCATTTACCTTCAGGATTTATCTCGAAATCCTGCACCTCAGATTGTAGATCCTTTGTCAGTATCAGCCATGTGGATGAGTCACGGCCATTGCTTGGCCAATGTGCTCTCTGTGAAAGCCTGAGAGAATGTTTTCTCTCCATGTGACTCTCCTTAGGCACACTCTACATCATCGATCACTTTCCTCTTTGGCCCCATAATCTCCTTGATCTGAAAATTTGTGACACTACCGAGTTACATGACGTTACAGTACAAGTTCTCATATATCCTGAGTCTTAATTGACCTTGGAAGGCTAGGGCCAAAATGTTGGCTTTCCTTGCGGCCCTGCTTTTTCTCTTTTGGTCTGCAAACTTAGGTTGTTAACCCTCCAGAAGAGAAGCTTATTGTTATTACCATACAACCTAGGCTGTTGCACTTAACCTCACTATCGGTCTGAATATCGAACATCTTAAGCATAATATGAAACAGGTATTTTTCATCAGGTATTGATATGTTTATTGGCCACTTCTGGCTTCTTTTTCCTGAAAAATATCTTAACAAACAGGACAGATT